CCCCCCCTCTTTGTCCTCTACCCCTCGTCCACTCCTTCGCCCCACCCCGCCCTTCATTTCGCCTTCCCTACACCCCCTCTCCTCTAACAGTTGATTGGTTCCTGCCTCCTATAACTGTTGCTCGCTTTTCGTTGACAGCTTACCTCTGACGATGGACTCCCGCAAGAGCCCGAAAGCTCAAATGAATAAAGTCACGATTACGCTTAACGCAACGACTTATTCTAGACAAATACCTGGGATGCGAACCTTTGCCTCTATTTTCATTAATTGAGATTATGTTCAATGTATGTCTTTACATTTTAAAGATAAGCTATTTCTCTACAGCATTTACAGAAGAAGGCATTCTAGTGGTATTATTTCTCTGGGAGATGGTCGTTTGAGTCATATTTGTAGACACAAGCAAACATGAACAGTCCTTGCCGAGCAAAATCAACGCCCACAATAAAAGTCGGTTATTAATATGCCTTAGAGGAATTAGCATATGTTTCGCGATAAGTAGCCCTTTTAAAGCACATTAGATGAATATTCTGCTAGTGACCACGCAGTTACCTTTACTAACTGCTTTCTAAGCACCAAATGCACTCAATAGCTCAAAAGACTAACTATGCGCTAAACAACTCATTTTAATTTCGCTGACGAGCATGAATAATTTGCTGAGACAAGAAACGCGTAGAACAGAGACTATCGGAAAAAAATGGGAATTCCTGGCCAACTGAGACGCCACCAAGTTGCCTCGCATTTTTAGTCCTTTATTATCTTCGTTTGCGCATTGTCAAGTCCGCTGTGATTTCAGCTCTGCTTCGTGTTACATAAGAAAAAGTCATCGGGCAAAAAATGCCCTCAGAGCCCCAGAAGTCATTGAAAAAGCTAATATTCCGTTCCAAAAAATGAATTATCCGTCTGCCAAACATTAGCGTTTGTTTCATTTTGTGATAGACCTATTTATTTTCATCATAAGCAATGCTGAAAAAAAACACCCTTAGCTGCTCACCAGCTACTCGGAATGTTGCTGCATCTTCAAACAAATATCTGAATTCTGTGGTGTTTCATCTTCTAAGTAGATCACTGAACTCCTATCCTTAACGAGTTATTTTTATATCCACCAAAAGCCTTTCGATTAAGAAATCTGACAGCTCGTTGTGTTTCTGGGAAGGATTTAAAATATTTACCGTGCCATATATTTAAACGGATTACTCCTAAGTAAACAAATTTGGTAAAAAAAGTGCATATTCAACTAAGGACCTGGGATAATATTTATAAATTCCACTTGTCTCATTAACTCCCAACTACCACGGAAAATAACAATCCATGGCCCCCTGCACTAATGCTAATGGCATAATTATCACATGTCCTGTCAAAAAGTACGAATTGCGTATCCAGTGTAACGACTATTTTAGGTAAATTTTCATGTATTTTTTTAAAACTGGCCTCTTCAGGTGTAATTAAGGGACACGCAAGCGTTTAGGCGGCATGGGCTACACCCTACTTTCTGGGTCCTAACACGCAAGACGCATTTTGCTAACGTAGTGTATCTTTAGCAACAGGGATTTGCGTTAGTTTTTCATCAAGGTTTGAGGTGAAACAGATGCCCCATTGCTATTGGATAATTGTGCAAGATGTTTGTTCCAGCTATAAAAAGCCCAAGAGATTGCAGACAGAATGAGTGAACAAACCAAGATGAATGAAACACAATTCCTTGTTTGGGTCAATAAGAGTGGACCACCTATCAGCCTGAACCGTACACCAAAGAGCGACATAGAAATAGCATGCGTCAGTCTGGAGTATCAAGGTTCATTCCCGCCCCCGTCGTTGCCGACAACGGGTGAAGTTACACTGCTCTTCATCGGCCTATTGTTGGGGACGTTATTGATTGACCGAATTTGCCAATGCGTGAGGCGGAGCCACAAATGTATACAGGTAAGTGAACTAAAGCAACATGGTAAATGATGAGCATTTTAAACTATTACGGTTAGTGAAATGGATAGATGAAAAAATTCCTTATTTTTCTATTTATAGGATGATTTTGTTGGGAAGCAGAACCCTGACAATCTTGGATTGGCAGTGACCTATTTGGTTTCCCAAATTGCGTGGCCAACAATCGTTCTGGACTCTGCATTATCCACAATCTACGTGAGTTGGAATTTTCGCAGTCTGCTGTTCGTTTCGTTTGAAAATTTGGAAAAATAGCACAGTGTATCTCCCAACGTGTTTCGAAATAACTTGGAATCTTCTATGGATGGTGTCCTTGGTATACAGAAACCGTAAACGTAGACATTTACCGCCATGTTCAAGTGGATAAAACAAAAATATTGAATTTCCTTGAAACTATTATTTAAAACATGAACAGGTCATTCAAACCCTTGTCGCCACTGATGCACTTATATGAATTGTACTTCTTTTGCGTAATTATACAATAAGGAACAAACATTCAGGGTATATCCAAGCGGCGGCAAGGAATATATGCAGTTCCTCAGTGCTTATGGGGCCCAAATACTCGGATTCGCTCGGAAACGTCTCATCAGGCATGTTGAAAAGTGCCAAGAGTCAGCAAGATTTTCGTTTGTGGGTGGCATGGGAAATATATAAATCCATATGTCAGGTAAAATTCAGTTGCATTCCAGAGGGTGCACGTATTACTGTGTTCTACCACTGCCCACACCCCCTGGAATCTAGAGAAGAAGCAGGTAGCACACATTCGTATGACCATGGTGACATGGTAACTTTGTATAACTTGTATCACCTGTGCTATTTACTGTCTTGGTATTCAGGGAGGGAACGTAAAGGCTCCCAATAAACGTTAGGAAACCTTGCGGCTGAACTTGCTTATAAGGAAATGTAGCCAGCAATAAAAAGGCACTTTTTAAACTTTTAAACAAAGCCAAGAAACAGTTGCTGATGAGACACAGCCGAACTGTCTTAGGCTACATGACGCAGTTTGGGTGTTTTTGATAGAGGAGCAAATTTGAATATACCCTAGGATATTAATCACCGCAATTTTAGCAGCATTTTACGATGATTATAATCGATCCCCGGTGTGACACCCATATTTGACCATCTTATGTGGATCAAGAATGGAATTGCCGCCACCATCCTCGACTCCGTTGCTAGGGCCTTCGCCCCTGCCATCTTCACGATCTTTCTGCTGGAGATGCGGACCAAGGCGCCGGGTGCCAAAAGTTTCCCTCAGTTCATCAGACGTCGATTTGGAGGTGTGGCACATGTGCTCGTCCTGCTTCTCTTTATCATCACGTCCATCGCCAACATCCTAAAAATCTTAGCCTGTAGGTCCTACTACCTGTCTTATATTTTCTGCCCAGGTCTTGGCTCGTCCAACTATTGTCACACTTTGGTATTACCTGAAAAATTGAATTCATAAACGAAACTTTTCTCTTACCTGCATTAAGAAGTGGTACCGAAAAAGGCATTAATAGTCAGTGTTTAAAAGTTTGGGAGCTGACGAGACGTATCTTTTTTAGTGCTTAATTCCGTCTAAATATGATAGGATTCACATTCAAGCCACCAGTTCTGCGCTTTTTTTCTGGGGAGAACGCGATGGACCTCGTCACGTACGTTGGTCAGACTATCACTGCACTTATTCTAGAGGACTATGTGAGGCCTCTGTTGAATTGGGAGAAGACGACCGAATTTTGTGTCAAACGGGAATTTTTGCATTTCGAAAAATGTTGACTCCTAGTGTGTTTGAGTTGAATAAGCTCAAGGCAGTAGGTATATAAACATACTGTAGGAAGGGAAGAAACATCAGGGGTCAGATTAAATGAGTAAAATATGTCTTGTCGATTTTCATCGAAAATATCAACCGTGGTACATGGGTAAGTGCGTTGGATTGCAAACTAGCAGGTCGCGAGTTTCAAGCCGCAGCTGGCTCACAATCTGGGGCTGGGTATGGCTACTTTACGTCAGCTAATAAGCCAGAAATGGCCCTTTCGGTCTTCGTTAGTTTTATTAATGGCATCTTTTGCCAGTAAGTTAGGGTCAGGTTTTATTGAGGAAAATGTAGGTAAATATCATTGAACTCCCTTTTGGTGCAGAAAAGTTATGCAATGCATTTGTTCAGCAGAACATTTCAAAACAGCGGTGTTGCCAGCATTTGGAACTGGGTAAATAAGGGCCGACAGTGAAGAAAACTCCTTAGGCATTGTTCAGAAAGTCTAGGGTTTTGAATGCCAGCTGAGGGATTTAAGAAGGAAAATTGTCGCACTGTGAGCTGGGGGAGGGGGGGTGTTGTATATTCAAATCCGATGGCCTGTGCTGAGAGTGTTTGAAGCATTTCGGGAGGAGCGCATCGCGATTGGTGTCATAATCCTTAGGGTTCAACCAGGAGAAGATTGTAGAGGTCACGAGAACGTCACCGAGTGTCGGAGATGCGCCCATCGTACACCCTTGCTGGTTATCGAGTCTGCCGACTTAGTGACGAAACAAAGTTATCGGTCGTTTTTTAAACAAACACTTTACTTAAAAGTAGCGAGTTCTGATTTTTATCATGCGATTACTCCGCATTGTCATTTCGGTAACCGGTAGTTTATGTCCGGAGGCGTGGTGACTATGATGTCTAACTTGATCTTAAACGTGTCCACAGATGGAAACATGACAATATCCGCGGGCATAGCAGTCCATGTCTGAATTGGGAAGAGCTTCACACAGCCGCCTAGCCTACTATCACAAGGTTTGGTGGATGCTATATTTGCAATGTTTAGTCATTCTAAACAAACGCATTACTGAAAAGTAGTGAGAAGTACTTTTTAAAATAATATTTAAGTCCTCACCAGTGCTAATTTCAGAGAACCTTGTGGGTATGCTGGTCTAACTTCCTCTTGAATGTATCCACAGATGGTGACAAGACAATATCGCCGGAGAGAGCATTCCAGGCTTCAACTAATCTATTACCAAAGAAGAACTTGCGTATGTCTAGTCGGGCTTCTGTTACACATAGCTTGAATAGATGCCCTCTTAAATGTGTCGTTGTAGCTATCTCGAAGAAATCGCCAGGTAGAAGACCACAGTCCTGCCCGCGCATTATACGAAATTTTTGTATTAGATCACCACGTGGCTGTCTGTAACTTAACGGAAATAGGTCGAGATTAAATAAACAGGTTTCGTAGGTTAATGAGCCCTGCCCGGTCACCAGTTTTGTCGCGCGCCTTTGGACCTTCTCGAGGGAATTTATGTCTTTTGCGGTCCAGGGTTTCCATGCTTGGATAGCGAACTCCAACATCGGCTGCAACAATGTTCCACAGACCTTAGAAAATCAGCCTTAATCGAAAGCACAGAAAGCCCTTTTGACAAGATACAGGCTGGACATCGCAGACTTGGCTACTTTTGCGCAATGCAGCGAGGGCTTGAGAGACGTAGAGATCCACACTCCAAAATATTTCTGCGCGTCTACATCTTCCAGTTCGATGCCATTCAGGCTGTAAACCATGGAATTCTGAGAGCTGGGTCGGCCAACTCGTATGATACTGCATTTGTCCTCGTTAAACGGCAAAAACCAGTCCTTAGACCAAGTCTGAAGCCTGCTTAGGTTTACCTACAAATGCTTTTTGTCAGCTACATTTCTGATGACGTTCCAAATCTTAATGTCTTCGGTAAACATAGACAAATCACAATCCAGTTCACGGACGGAGTCTTTGACGTACATAATGAACAGTATAGGGCCAAGGACAGAGCAATGGGGAACACCGCTCTCGACCGCAACGTCTGCCGACTGCTGGTCACCC